TCCAAGTGGCAGCCGGGGGATGTCAGATACAGTGGAATGCGCCTCCATGCCCGGAGCCACCGAGGCCAGGGCCTGGTAGACACCCCCCACAAAGGGCAGCTGCCACATGCATCCGAAGAAACACAAGTAACATCAACTACATGCCCTGGATCTCCAGAATGGGGAGGTCGGAGCAAGTGTGGTCTGGGTTAGGGACCAAGGCACACGGCAAAGAAACCCTGCCGCTGGGTGTATGGCCACGGAGGAGTATACGGGCACCTCATCTAAGTGAAGACGTGCATGACCTGGTGGCTCCGGGCAACTATGCAACTTATTTTTCCATCCTCACTCCCGCCCTTCAATCCCACGGAAACGCATGCTGAAGTCTCTTTGGGATGATCACTTTTCTAAAAGTAGAGGGAGCAGAGCCATGTAGAGAAGAGCCAGACCGCTCAGCCGCTGGCTACCCATGTGCTCATTCATAGGCACCCGGGATGGTGGCAGGACCTGGCTCAGAGGGTAGCTGTGGGGGTGAAAAGAGATGAGGCACCGTGCACAAAGCCTGGATCAAGGAACACATTCCGTTAAAACAGGATCCCTGCAAGCTGCAAGAGAGCAAAGTCAGACCGAAGGAGGGAATCACAGGGAAAGTTGTCTGGCTTCTGCGAGGTGAAGCAACCCTTAGGAACAAATGTATCTGCTTCCAATCTTTATTTTTTTTAAATAATGAAAACTATTCCACTTTAAGGGTAGATAAAGCTTAAAGGAAATTAAATAAGGAATAGTTGCATTATATTGTTTTCTGCTGGCTAGGAAATGGTAACATTTCCTAGTTACCAGCAATGCAGTACATGCTGGAGCCTTGAAAGCTATGATTTGAGCAAGATTCGTGCAGCCAGGACCATGTTAATGCTGCTTTGCCCACTTGATGCCCTTTCGTCAGCCAGAAACGTCCAGTCCTTAAATAGTTGTTGAGTTCACTGCTAAAGTATTGCTGAGAGTAGAGGTCTTGTATGTGCTTCAGGCTACCACATAGAGGGAGCCAAGGAAGGAAGCCTCCGTGTTTTACTGAGTAGTGTCATTCCCATCTCACAGATGAGGGAAAATGCTGAGGACTTGGTAACTTGCCCAAGACCTGCAGCTGGGAAGTGGAGATGCCTGAACTCTAGAGTACGACAGTCTGATGGAAAAGCTCCTCCTTGCCCACGCTGCCCCTGATTTCTCTGGTCATGGTCCCAGCATTGCCACCGACCAGCTGTGGCCTTGGGCAAGTAGTTTCATCTGTGTGGATTTCATTCAAGTGACTAGAGCAGGGGTGGGCAAACTTTTTGACTCGAGGGCCACAATGGGTTCTTAAACTGGACGGGAGGGCCGGAACAAAAGCATGGATGGAATGTTTGTGTGAACTAATATAAATTCAAAGTAAACATCATTACATAAAAGGGTACGGTCTTTTTTTTTTTTTTAGTTTTATTCATTTCAAATGGGCCGGATCCGGCCCGCGGGCCGTAGTTTGCTCACGGCTGGACTAGAGCCTGGGGCCCTACGCAATGGATGAGAAGTCTCATTGAGGATGAGGCGGCCTTGCTGAGCCCTTGTCGGGGAGGTTTCAGTGGCTCCCAGGAGGAAGGGGAGCAAGAGGCAGCAACATCCACTCCTCTGCCTCACTTAGCCCACACTCCCCCTTCCAGGCTACTTAAGATTTAGGAGAAACAAAAAGGCGCATCTCTTTACTAAAATGCTGGGGATTCTCGGGCTATGTCTTATCTAAAGGCTCTTCCTACTTTAACATTTTAATGGTTCACTAGTCACTTAAATCAAACAAATCGGATATTCAAGGAAATGATTCCAAGAGAATATTTTGTGAGCAAATCTGTAAGTTAGGTTTTGGGTATAGATACTAGTATTAGTTTCCTGTTCATATCCTTAATTACTGTGTGAAGGAATTTTGAGGCCTTTACTTATAAAATGTAATTTGTCTGTATGTGCATTTATTTGTTTTTACTTGGCATGGTTACCACTGTAAGTGAAATATTTTTATTTACTAATTAAACGCGGCAATAACACTGTTATTGCTCTTAAGGAAGAATAAGAAAAAAAAAGGCTAGCATGATGTTAATGGAGCAGCATTTTCCAAAGCAGATTACATGAGAAATGAACTCCATAGAACATAATTTCCTTGGAGAAAACATTGCCTGGTCAAATGTTGGGGAAACACAATTCTGCCTTTTCAGGGGCCTGCTCCACCTTCCATAGGCCCACATGGCCCTTCACACAGACAGTAGCCTCGCCCTGTGAACTGACTTCGCTGATACCAGCTTATTCTAATATTCCCACGGAAGTCTACAAACTGTTCTGACCCTAATACCAAGGTCTGGACAACACATGCTAGTCAGTGAAGACGGTGAAGTTTTAATATACTCCTTCTTCTTCTTCTTTAAGGTACCAAGTCTTCTGGGTTAGGGGCCTGTGAGTGGCTTCTTGTCCTCACATCCCTGCTCATCATCATCGTGACCTTCCCTTTTTCTGTCTGGTTCTGCATAAAGGTGAGATCCTTTCATTTCCTGGAGCCTCTTACTAACCACATCATGCCCACTTTTACTTCTGTGTTTCAATAAGGGCTGTCTGCTCCGCATGGAATGCCCTCCCCACTCACCTCCTGGAAGAGCACCTACTCCTTTAAGATGTTGCTCACATGTAACTGTGAAGACTTCCTTGACTTCCCCAGACTGTCATTCCCTTCCTCGTGCTCTGGTGTCACTCTGCTTCGACACCCACTCTAGCACTTACCACATGTATAGTATTTGTTGACACCCCATCTCTCTGATTAGATGGAGAGCCCCTTCAACACAGGGGCTACACCTAGGTCATCTGCCCTCTGTAACACAAATGATGCCATTGTAATAACCTGGCTATTATTTAATAGGAAAGGAAAAAAGGGAAGACTAGACAGACTACATATAATAGGCATGCCATTTATACAGCTTTGCCAGAAAGCTGCCTTTAACATTCTCCAAGTCTCTTCCCCACTGATTGATGGGGGATGGGACTAGACAAAGGCAGTTTAGATACATGCCCAGTAAGGTCTGAGTGACGTGGGAGGGTGCCTGCACGTCTGCCAGTTATACTTGGGAACAAATTAGTGGCCAGGATGGAGAATTTGTGACTCACTGGCATTACTTTTTCTTTAAACGCTTGGCAGAATTCCCTAGTGAAGCCATCTAATCATGGATTTTTCTTAGTGTGAAATTTTTAAACTACTAATTTAAATCTCTTCTAGTTCTTTTCAGTTTTTGTTTTTCTTCTTAAGTCAGTTTTGGTAGTTTGTGTATCTGTAGGATTTTGTCCATTTCATCTAAGTTATCTAATTTGTTGGTGTATAATTCATAGTATTTTTTCTTATATTTTTTATTTCTTTAAGGACAGTAGTGATGTCCCTGTATCATTCCTCTTTAATTCCTGGTTTTAGCAATTTGAGTCTTCTTTTTTATTGGTCAGTCTAGATAAATATTGGTCAATTTTGTTGATGTTTTCAAAGAACCAACTTTTGGTTCTGCTGATTTTCTCTATTGGTTTTCTCTTCTCTATTGCATTTATTTCCACTCTAATCTTCATTAACTTCTTTCTTCTTGCTTTAGGTTTAGTTTGCTCTTCTATTTCCAGTGTCCTAAGGTAGAAGATTCATGTATTATTTTGCAATACTTCTCACAGTTTGAAACAAAATATAAGAACTGGTATTAAAATATACTCCCTCTTTCTGTTAATTGAGACATATAAAAGCTAATCATACAGAAGTCACAGAAAAATACAAGATTGAACATGCTGTGGAAAACATGCTCTGGTTTCTTTGAGTTAGGGACTATCAAACATTAGTGGAAGCATTATTATTATTATTTTTAGATAATCATGGCTCTTTAATAAAAATTCTGTTCACAGGCTCAAAAATGAACATGGCCAATATAGGTTTTTTTTATTGGTTTCTGAAATTCTACACTTACTAAATGTAGATTTTGGAAACCTACATATCTAGTTTTTTCTTGGTTCTCAAAACCAAAGATTCCTGATACTTAGCATTACTCTCATGTGAAGGCCTTTGAAGACTCTCTTTTTCTTTCTTGGCGTGATTCAAAAGTATTAAATTTGCTTTTAGGTTGTACAAGAATATGAGAGAGTAATTATATTCCGACTGGGACATCTGCTTCCTGGGAGAGCCAAAGGCCCTGGTAAGGAACAGTTTTTTAACCACCTGTAGACTTGCCAGTTTCTTCAATCCATGCATATTTGTAATATCAACCTTAGGTTACATGAAATAACTTGATTCATGATATCTCCATTTTCCAATCTGGTACTTGTAACAAGGTTTATTAAGAAATCCTGGCCGAAACCGGTTTGGCTCAGTGGATAGAGCGTCGGCCTGCGGACTGAAAGGTCCTAGGTTCGATTCTGGTCCGGGGCATGTACCTGGGTTGCGGGCACATCCCCAGTGGGGGATGTGCAGGAGGCGGCTAATCGATGTTTCTCTCTCATCAATGTTTCTGACTCTCTGTCTCTCTCCCTTCCTCTCTGTGAAAAATCAATAAAATATATTTAAAAAACAGAAAGAAATCCTGAAGAGAGCATTACTACCAGGTCACAATAACCAAGAGAGAAGATGGGGGCAGAGAACTAAATGCCAGGGCCAGGCTGGCCAGAGTAACAGGTAGGCTTAGAACCCATGTCCAGGCACCAGGTTTAGTAGAATGTGTGTATGGTCAGAGTTCTGTGAATTCTCAGAGCAAAGCTAAGCTAATTCAAAGTCGAGAGGGTCAGACCAAACTCTGGGAAACAGGCAAAGTTCAGTGTCCAGGTGACTAATTGGTCTTTAGTTGGTGGAACTGAAGAAAAACAGATTGAGCACTTCTTATATTTCAGATTCTGTATAACTACCAGAGATATAAACATGAATGAGACATGGTTTTGAATTCAAGGACCTTAAAATCTAGTGGAGCTGATGTACAGAAGTCCAAGCTGATAATGGGTACTGGTAGAAGCATGGTTAGTCTGAAAGGTCTAGCAGTTGGGATTTGGATAGCCAAGCGAGCCAGGAAGGCATGAAAAGGAGCAAAGTCCCATGGTGCATATATTGGAAAGGGTCCAAATTCCAAGCCAGCTCTACAGAAGAAGGTAGAGAATAGAGACCAGACTACAAGACATAAATCAGAGTTTGAAGATTCATAATCAACAGACCAAGGTGATCATACAGCCTATTTTGCCAAAGATAATCTCTGTTTATGCCTGCTGTCCTGGAGTAGGTTGTAACAGTGCTCTCTTTTCACTCTCAAAAGTGTCCCAGATTGAACAACAAATTATACAGTAGCCTTAGCAACAACAGACACTTCAGGGATAGTGGTGGGGCCACCCAATGGCCTGTGTGTAGTTGCAGGATAAAAAAAGCAATGAAATGTGCAGCCTGACCCCCCAAAAGTGAACCCCAAACAGTCCCCATGCTAGCCATTCACCTGTAACTTTCTCCTCCCCGTCTCCTAGGTCTTTTCTTCTTTTTGCCCTGCCTGGACACCTACCACAAGGTTGACCTTCGTCTCCAAACCTTGGAGATACCCTTTCATGAGGTAAGCCAAATGATGGATGTTGCTTTCTCTACATTTTACAAAGCTGATCTAGGGCAAAATGACTACTTAAGATCAAAAGTAGAAAAGGGAACTAGAGATATGGACTACCTCAAAATGAAAAAACTCCTGTACATCAAAGGACACAATCAACAGAATGAACAGGCACTCTTTGGGATGGAAGAAAATAACATGTCTGATAAAGGGTTAAGATCTAAGATATATAAAGACATCTTACAACTCAACAAGAAAGCAAGCAAACAAACAAAAAGGATTTGTCATAGTTTTTATGTATCAACTTGACTAAGTTATGGTCAGGAACATCTGGATGTTGCTGTGAAAGTACTTTTAGGTAAGATTAATATTAAATCAGTAGACTTTGAGTAAGGCTGATTACATTCTATAATGTGGCTGGGCCTCACCAATCAGTTGGAGGCTTCAAGAGAAAGACTGGCCTCCGCTGGAGGAGGAGAGAATTCTGCCAACAGGCTACTCCCAGGCTGGAGCGGCAACATCAACTTTTCCTTGAGTCTCCTGTTGACCTCTCCTGAAGATTTTGGACACACCAGCTGGGTTAGCATGACTTTTTCTCAGCCTCTACAATTGTGTAAGCCAATTCCTTAAAAATCTCTTTCTCTCTTTTTCTAGACACACACACACACACACACACACACACACACACTCCATTTCTCTGGAGAGACCTGGCTAATACAGACTTGAATAGCATGTTTCAAAAGAAAATATACAAATTGTCAACAAATACATGAACAAATGTTCAAAATCACTAATCATTAGAAAAATGCAAATCAAAACCACAATGAGATACCACCTCACATATATTAGGATGGCCACCAAAGAGAAGGGGAAAAAAAGCCAGGAAATAACAAGTGTAGGCATTGCAACCCTTGTGTACTATTAGTGTGTGTGTGAAATGGTATCGCTGCTGTGGAAAACAGTACGGCAATTCCTCAAAAATTTTAAAACAGAATTACCATTAGGTCCAGTAATTCCACTTCTGGGTATATACCCCAAGGAACTGAAAGCAAAAATTTGAAGAGGTATTTATATACCTATGTTCATAGCAATATTAGTTACAATGGCCAAGAGGTGAAAGAAACCCAAGTGTCCATCAGTGGCTGAATAAACAAAATGTGGTATATATCTATCATGGAAAATTATTCAACCTTGAAAAGTAAGGAAATTCAGACACTTACTACATCATGCATGAACCTGGAGAACATTAAGCTAAGTGAAATAAACCAGTCATGAAAAGACAATACTGTATAATTCCACTTATACTAGGTACCTAGAGTAGTTAAACTCATAGAGACAGAAAGTAGAGTGGGGGTTTCAGGGGTTGGGGAGAGAAATGGAAAGTTCTTGTTTACTGGGTTTCAGTTTTACAAGATGAAGAGTTCTGGAGATTGGTTGTACAACAATATGAATGCAATTAACATTACTGAACTGTACACTTAAAACTGGTTAAGATGGTAAATTTGATGTTATGTGTATTTTACCACAAATAAATTTAAAAAGTAGAGATAACACCTAGATTTTTCTATTGGTAATTTAGATTTATAAGACTTTCCTAACTGTCCCCCACTTTCAGTTTAAAGATCTTTCCTATGCTTTCTTTTGTTAAATAAAAACAGAAATTATATATATTTAAAGGCTTACTTCAGATAATAAAATGTAAAAAAGAAATAAATAAAATTTACCCCTAATCCTACTACCTATAGACAGATGTAGATATTTTGGAGTGTATCCTTTCAGGCTTATGTCTGTGTGTGGTTATATTTACAGACAGGAATATATATCAAACCATACATTCCATAGTAGCATGACTTATTTTATTTTTAATATATTTTAATTGATTTTAGAGAGAGAGGAAGGGAGAGAAACATCAATGACAGAAAAACATTAACATCAATCAACTGCCTCCTGCACTCTCCCTACTGGGGATCGAGTCCACAACCCGGGCATGCACCTTAACCAGAATTGAATCCTTACCTTTTTTTTTTTTTTTTCCGAATCGTTACCTCTTGGTTCCTGGGTTGACACTCAACCACTGAGCCACACCAGCTGGCCTAGTATGACTTTTTTTTTACCCCAAATTTTTGTGATCATCTTTTCATATATTAGCTATGTTTCTACCCTTTTATTTTACATGGACACAAAGCATTCTAGTGTATGGACATATGTACCACAATTTATAATTCCCTATTGTTGATATTAGGTTGTTTCCAATTTCTTATTACAGTAAGCAATACTGTGAATAACATCCCTGCAGCTAAATTCTTGTATGTCCTTGTGAAGTGTCTGAACATGGACATGCTGAGCACATGCGTCTGTGAGGACACTGGGCGTGCATTACCAGCCTGCCCTCTAGTGTACACCCAGCACGCAGAGCATGCACGTGCTTGCTTCCCAGACCCTGCTTCTCTTGAGCACATTTTTGGGGGCATCAGTTAAAAAGACCTGATAAACAACTGTTTTCTTCATGTCAGAAAATTCTTCCTGATTTTTTTTTACAAAAATATTTACAACAGGACTCCCTTACATTGTGAATGCTTTGGTGTAGTTAATAAAAACTCCTTAATCTTCAGAAACACGTCTATTTTGAATAATGGGTAGGCCAACTACTCTTTAGTTTTTTTCTTGCTAAAATCGCCCTTTGAGAAAACTCCCCTTGAACACATCTAGTTCCCATTCCTTTAATCTCGAACAGGAAAGGAGTCCAAGAATGAGGCCTGACAGCCACACTCTCTTTTCTGCGTAGGTGGTGACCAAAGACATGTTTATAATGGAGATCGATGCCATCTGCTACTACCGAATAGAAAATGCCTCTCTACTCCTAAGCAGTCTTGCTCATGTGTCCAAAACTATTCAGTTCCTCGTGCAAACCACCATGAAGCGTCTGCTAGCACATCGATCCCTCACTGAAATTCTTCTAGAGAGGAAGAGCATTGCCCAAGATGTAAAGGTACTTCAATAAATTTAACATTGAATGTGTGGGAAATATACCTTTATTTTTCCTTCATTTCCTTCATTGATCATTTATTGAATCTGTCATGTGCCAGGCCTTCACTGTTGAAGGTGCTACCCCTTAAGAAACTGATAGCTAAATAAAAGATTATCACATTGATCCTGAGCCAATCATAGTCACCAGTGGGGTGCAGGTTAGGCAGTCATTGCCATA